TGACGATCCACCACCGTCAAGATAATACAATCCACCATCTTCATGCCCCCCACCAATCTTCTTCCTGTCTTGAGATCCTGAAAAACATAAGAGGAAGGGAAAAAAGTAACAGAACAGTTAAGAGTCTTGGTTAATTTACTAACAGAYATAAGATTGAATGGAAACTTAGGGACATAGAACAGATGATAAAGAAAGAGAAGCCATGTCAACATTGCCAACACCACAGATGGGAGAGGAGGAACCATTGGCAAGGGTAACAGTTTGAGATGTGGAAGTTTCAGAGAGAGAAGAGAACACACCTGGAGTCCCAGTTATGTGATCAGAGGCTCCAGAGTCAATAATCCAGGGAGAGGTTTTAGATGACAGGCAAGCTATACCTGAGTGGGCAAGAGTAGCAGTTGTGTGCTGTGAAGTAGACTGAATGAACCACTCATACTCATCACGCGGTACACTCACCATCTCCCTCCCGGAAACAGATGCAGATGTGGAAGGAGTTAGGTCTGCCTATTGATTATCATTGACGTCAACCCCACCAGCTACAACATGATTGGCCCATGTAGAGGGAGGGCCATGGAGATCATAACAGAAATTTACCGAATGTCCTTCCCTGCCGCAGTGGGTACACTTCCTTGTAGAGTTGTTTTTTCCTTTGCCACAGCCTCCCCCTGAGTCACGACCGCCACCACGGCCAAATATGGAACCACCACGACCTCCTCGGGAGGCATGTCCTCCCCCTTTTGTACCACGTCCACCTCCTCTGGCTGTCACAAATGCTGATCTATTAGACTGTGTGGGATTCTCTATCTGTCCCAAAGAAATCCTACGAAGCCGTGCAAACACTTCCTCAAGTGTAGGAAGGGTAGAGCCCCCCAATATTTGGGCCCTAACTGGTTCATGCGATTTCAACCCCACTAAGAACCTTGTTGTTCCCTCTGTTGTTGTTGAACCTTAACATCTGGAGTGAGAGGATGATAGACATTGAGTTCATTTCTGAGGTTCTTCATACTGACATAGTACTCTTCTAGGGTTTTATTTCCTTGTTGCAGATCAAAGTACTCCTGATAGATCTGATATACCCTTGTAGTATTATCTTGCCCAGAATACAGTTTCTTGGCATGTTCCCATATGTCCTTAGCTGTATCTAAGAACATGAAGTTGGCACTTATTTTGGGTTCCATACTATTCCATAGCCATGTCATGATTTGAACATCTTCCTGTTCCCAATCATCAAACCCTGGAGAGTTAGCCGGTGGTTTATCTTCTTTTACATGCTTCACTTTCCTCTTTGCCTTGAGAAAAACTTCCACTGACTTGGCCCATGGAACATAGTTCTCACCATTCAATTTAATTGAGGTCATCTGTACACCTAGATAGTCARAGGAAACCACCACACTAGGTTTCTGATCACTACAACCATCTCCCATTGCTGGCATGATACTCTTTCAATGCCAACTTCATGTCAGGAGTTTGATGTTCCAGAATCTACAGCAGTCCCTAAACACAATGATAGATACACAATCCTTTGTTCTTGTCCACACCACTACTGATTTCACAAAACCACGAACCACACCGACATTAATTCAGCACTTACTAACCACAAGCAAGCCCTCTTACTATTCAACAGAGATTGTGCGTCACAAGCACCACCACACAGCCATAGCTGTCACACACGGTACAGAGCTGTCTAACACTTTTAAGAGGGCACTACAAGATCAAAGAGAACTCAATTAGTGCCACTGCATTACACCTTGCACCATTCGGCCACCTACAGTAGCTCCTACACCATTCGGCCACCTGCAGCAGCCCTTACACCATTCGGTCACTGTAAACACAGCATGTTCTTGGAATTTTTTCCAAGAACCAGGGCAACAACCAACCTAGTTCTCTAGGTTCTGATAAGTCCTCGCAGGTTCTTGAAGATTTTCAACCCAGAAATACCAACAGCACAAAGAGAAGAGATAACCAACCTTCTTTTGAGAGCTTCAGCCAACCATTCACTGCTGAAGTCGTTTTCTTAAGAAAG